AGTGTAACTCTCTCGCCACAAGAGAATTTTGCCCGTCGAGATTTTTCTCGCGCGCATCGCTCGCACTCTCCCGATTCGCTTCCATTTTTCCACTCTCTCGCGCGATGATCCTAATGATCAGGCGGCCGTGCCGTCTACCCGATCTAATGTCCGTTCTCTCGTCTATCGGCAGGAATCTAACTCGCGACGTAAGTCGGCCAGTTATAAATAAAAGTATAGCTTTGTTGTCGCACAGGCGGCGCGCTCCACTTGCGGCACTTTCATAACAGAACGAGGGGAAGAGCCGGGAGAGCGAGAGGCGACCGAGGAAGATGGTCGGAAGAAGGGAGAGGAGAGATGCTTTCCACCGTTCAGAATCGGAAAGAGCATCCTGCCATTCGTAACAGCGGCATGGTCTCTTCTTCGATCTTAAACGTAGCAAGAAGCGAACGACTTTTCTTGAAAACCAGGTCGAGCCGGACAAATTGTCGTACAGCGTGTACAGCAGCACATCTTTCTCTTTCTCTCTTTCAGTTGATTTATGCGCCAATCTATTTACTATTATTAGTATCCTGTAATGTGCTGTTAGTGTGTTCTTTCAACGTCATACTGATAGAAGAGTGAGATACTAGGTGGGGTGAAAAGTAACCTCCTTGGGAATGAAAAAAATTTTTTTCTTATGCAGAATCTCGCCCAAAATATGGCGTGTTCGCTCAGTACTAATCTTTGTAGCATCTGCTAGCTCGCGCACCTTCACTTTCCGGTCAGCCAACACCATTTCATGTATTTTTTTGACATTTTCCTCGGTAACCGCATCGGAGGGCCTGCCGCTGCGGACTTCATTGGTAGTGGAGTTGCGGCCACCACGAAACTCTCGAAACCAATATTTGACGGTGTAATCTGACGGAGTATTAGCCACATAATATTTATCCAACTTTTCTTTTGTTTCCTTCGCCGTTTTGCCTCTCAAAAAATAATGTTTTATGAGAGAACGAAAATCGTTTTCGCAAACACGTCAACAACAATCAGCTCTCAAAACAAAACTAAGGGCAGTATCGCACTGCCACTTGGCATGTCTTATGTGGTTTATTAATGAGATTGATATCAAAGAAGCTACAAAGCAGCAAATTTTAAGCCACAGTTTTTCCGATGTATCCTTAATTATATGTAAAAAAATTTTAGTCATAACTGTAAAGACGTAAGCAAATCAAT